AAATATATATGTTGTTGGGACATAGACACACACTACCATCTAGTTCCATGGTAAGCTACGAGGCTTGTGTTATGGATACCACATAGTTGATACACTACACATATATAACTTTAAATACATACATAAGCGGGACTCGAACCTGCGACCGCTAGCCCAGCAAGTAGGGTCACTACAAACTGAGCCAAACGTGTCGTCTAGTTGTCCTTTTACTAGACGTCTAGTTTTAGCTAGTGACACCAGGTAACTTTTTGATACTCATTTATCCCGAGGGGTTCCTCATTTTCCTGGGCGAAATGAAAAGTAGCCTGTTAATTGTTTGTCTATATAATACTCCCTCTATGAATAAACGTCAAGGCCAACCTTTATTGTAACGTTGTAAATATACCTTCACACTAATCCATGACGGTATAGGATACGGTCCATACTATTTAATGATATAGATGTGAAAGTAGATCTGTCAGTCTATAACCTAAGGCTTAAACCATAGAACAGATTTGATCACATCTGTTTTTATTGGCGAATTATTTTCATTATGATACCACTTGTTTTACGGTAAAGGTAAACATGCTGAGGAAATCTGTGTCTTAAGTATACAGCTATTCTAACTAGTTTTCAAAACAGATTTGGAGTCCACCTATCTTTGGCCAGCGTGGTGGACTATAGCTTGATCCCCCTCGCATGTTTCAATGTGAAGGAAACACGTGCCCAACAGTGAGACGTTAAAATAGGGCTGAATATGATTTTTATTAAATATTTAACCGACACATTTCAAATATACTTGTTAATTCTTAATAATATGATTAAAGTACGCTCATTTTCATATTCTTAGAAACTAAATTAATTCATACGAAGTTAAGTAAATCTTAGGAACGTAAAATAATATGTATACAGTAGATATAGATACAATATTATTCATATTAAAATAGCTTTTCATGCATGATATTGTAAAAACTTTTGATTATCTGCGTCTAATTATTTTGGAAAATGAAGGTTTCAAACGAAATAACTAGGTATATACAGTATAAGAAGGACAGTTTGAGATTTGTATTGGGCTGTAAAATTTGAGGTGCGGGGTCAAGCCCTCAGTCTATATAATATTATAACTTTTACTATAAAATGTACATATGAGTATACTTCAAATTCACTTAGTAAGTATTTTCCCTTACACGGGTGGAATATTATTTTGTTTATATTGGACTGCCCTGTAAGGTAGTGGTAGCCCAGTGGTAGCGCGCTCACTAGGGAAACCAAGTGATGCGGGTTCAAATCTCGGTTCTCGCACCTCTGATATTTTCATGTGCGAATCATTTGCAACATAATTACCACTTGTTTTACGGTGTAGAAAAACATCGTGACGAAACCTGCATGTTGGAAAGAACTTAGCGAGTTTTCAAAAGACATGTGAAGTCCGCCAACCCGCATATGGCCTGATCCCTTTCATATCGAAGGAAGGATCGTGCCCAGCAGTGGGACGTTAAAAAGGTCTGAATACGAATTAAAAAAAAATCGAAAGCCAATTTGCAAATGTTGGAGATATTGGACTACCCAAAAAAAAATTGAGCCTGGATGAATATTCCTCTTTTTTAAAGTCGGTCAATAAGTAAGCTGTTTTATCTGTCTCTTGATAAATAATTGAATTCCAATGTTCTAGATATTTAATCTAACGTTTGGTGACTTTCATGTTACCAGTATCTGTATAATGAATTGGGGGAAGTTAGTTCTTGTCAATTTGACAAATTTATATGTGTGTCGTTTTTAGCTAGAATTTTAGTTGATACGCTGTTTAGATACAGGCTTACTATATAATGTATTTTCAAAGATGTTTAATATACATACATATCTATCATTTAGTAGTCTATAGTTGAGAAGTTAGGAGCTATGCCCACTGTGACTTGTTATCGCGCTTGTCATACGTTTTTATCGACGAACGCAATTTTGTGTATCGAATAACGCATTTAAAAACGCAGATTGTATTTATTCAGTGTTATTTACTCAGACGATGCATGTATTTATACGCGTCTTTGGCGCGTTAGAAAATATGGTGTACACAGGCCTTTATATGTTCAGAGTTGTTTTTGTCTTGGAGAGTCGTGAACAGTTTCGTCTTTACCATAATGGCCTCACGAATGAAAAACAACATTTTCGTTTACATGGAAAAGATATTTTTAATTTATAAATACACTGCACTGTATACTATAGACTAAAAAAAATATTATGTTCCTTCGTTAACTTTTTCTATCATTTTAGCTGACTTCTCTACACCATCAATATATTTTTTTAAATTTTGTAGTTAACTTTTTTTTTGGTCACTGTTGTATAATTGTTGTATGCCCAAGGACCGCTTGGCTTAAGATAGTTCTGGTTGTGAAGTTAATCCCTTCCCAAATGTCACATTGCTGTCTTATCTAGATATGAGGGTGAGAGAATTAAGTTAGATAAAGCAAAAATAACCCACCTGTTTTTATATATACTTGTAAAATGTGCATGAAAACGTGAAGATGGATACTCCCAATGAAATTGGCTTAGTAATAATAAAAATTGGCATTAAAATCTTAAGTAGTTAAATCTAAAATGAAATACACTTATTGTTAGTAAGATGCTTTATGTACTATTAAATATTAATCGTTAAAATTCATTGCACGAGAATCGAACTCGAGACAAACGACCTTATATTTTATGATTATTATCGTTTATGAAAAATAATGTACATAATTAAAAAAAATACTTTCGCAGCTATAATGAATTAGTAAGTCTTCTAATTACTCAAAAATTATACACAAATATAGCTTCACATTTTTTTAGGAACAGTTTTTATTACTCCGTAAGTTGAATTGTTAATATACTGGTTTCAAGGTTGACATTAAATTATATGGAGATGGCTTCTCTAAATGTTATAACAGTGCTAACTCACTGCTTATCGCCCGCGACTATTCTCGCGTATAATTTTGATGAAAATAGCTAAATGTTTTTACAGATTTAATTTATATACATATTTTTTATTCAATTCGGTATTTCCAGACATTATTATCTTTAGACATATAGATAAATTAAATTTTACTTTTTGTGTATAAAAAGTTTTTGTCATTATTTGGTCCTAACTTACAAATAAAAAAATAAATAAACAAGAAATTAAATCAAAAATTTTACAAACTTCTCACATAATATATACATTGAGGCCATTTTAATGAGCCTAAACACGATGTTTCTGTAGCATTTTAGTAAAAAGTTGAGTATCTTGCAGATTCCAGGTGACGCTGCAGCATTAGGCCAAGGTTCCCATTACATTGCAATGTCATTGAAGTAAAGGCATACCAAGTTGCGAATGGATTAGATGTGTTGTTCATATCCTTTTACCGTCTAGAAAAGAGCTGATTGACTGCAAGCGGCTGAACGGATTTTCTTGATTTATAGCTAAGAGCACTGTCGATTAAGTCCTTTTTCAAACAAAAAAAAGTAAATTAATATCATTAGTTTGGGTGCTATGGGGCCACAGACAGATACACAAATATACACGTTAAACTTATAGCACTACTCTTTTTTTAAAAAGTCGTCATTCTTGTTATTTTCATTAAGGCAATACCATAAATAATAATGATTCTAACTACTAACTTATTTTGAACTTTTGATCGTATTACGCGTGTGATAAATATTAATTATACTGAAAAACAATTATTGTTAGTTACTCATACAACTTACTCAATAGCCTAACTAAATTCCTATACTTTGGACTTACTATAAATAAACAGAATACATGGATGTTCCATATACAAGGATAAATAGATAGATAAATATGGCATGTATAAAAGATTTGCCCCAGGCAGAATTCGAACCCGCGACCTGTGGTATATAGAGTTATAGGTAAGTATCCCACCTAGGCCAGGCTAAATTTGGACACAGATTACTTCGCCAATGTCGTGTAGAATGAAGAGGACAAATAGAAAAAGCAGATAGCAGAGAAAATGAACAAACCATTTAATTTGTTATGACTTTATTCCATCTTATTTTCCTTTAGTTAATACTTGTCATAAGATTTAACGGTTAACATACTGTTAGTTAAACAAAATTCATAATAGCATCGTCGTAATTGACTGTATCTCAGCAAATTGCGATGCTAGCTTCAAAAGCTTAAACGATAGCAATTGAAAAAAGTCGTGTATTCGATTACGATATCGTTTAGTCGATTAGACGTACGACTAGTGTCTGATAATTACGACGAAGCTATATATACAATAATGACACGAATTCATAACCTAAAATAAAGAACACAGATTATATATAGTGAAATTTAGATCAAACCAATCAATTCAGCTAGTTAAAAAAAATAACAATTTCATATTTAATCTCTTATACGATGGATGATTGGATTGACCTCATATTATATTTTCCATATAACTCTGGCAAATCCTGTTTTTTCTATTGCCAGAAATGAATGAACAATGCACTTACAGTCTGCGAGAATCGAACCCGCGACTCAAATTACAATATAACAATCAAATAATGCGAGAAGAATGAGGTACAAGAAATTTGACACGTAAATTTGAATCAGTAACTTCACAATACAGTCTTTAGGTACTAAACTATTTACAATGTCATTTAAAATGACTATACTAGGGCAAGAATTTACTCAACCATTATAATGCTGCAAGGCACAATATTGTAATTCAATATTATGTCAATTTTAAATTACATCTTTAGAAATGAATAATTAATTTTTAAATTGTCATAATACTGAGTTGTAATATTGTTCTTTGCAAACATCGATACTGACTTGCGACTTTCATCAAATTATACATTGGTTACGATTGGCAAGTCCATTTTGAATGGATTTATTTACAAAGATAATACGTTATTGATGTCATATACATCTATTAAAGTTTAAAATTAAGTTTTAGTTCTGTACATTGGTTTCAACGATATTCACAACTATGTATTCGTCCAGTGACGTTTTGTGTCCCTTTCACTTCACTTTACACATAATTGTAAATATCCTCCATATCTCATACGTTCATTTCTGACATAGCTGCTTGAGGAACCCTAGATTTTTGAGAAAAATGCTGTGATGGCGGTGAATTAGATGGTACGGAACCATTCCCTGGCGTCTGAGACTGACCAGTTTGTGCTTGCACATCTGGTAAGTTACCGCTACTCATAAACGTAGCGTTTTTAGGTAATGTCATACAATTTGATGCATTACATATCTGATTTTGATAACTGAAGCCAACTTTTCTCGGTAAAGTGGTACACTGTCCTCTATTCGGACTGGACTTTAAATTCGACATTTGTATGCCAGTGTGACAGACGTTCGGGCAATTTGCACTAGTGAAGTGAGGAACGCGATTCGTCATGGCGATAATTGCATTTTTGTCTTGGTGATCGATATCCACTATTGTGCTAGAACTTTGTGAATGACCAACGAAATAATGGGGATGTTTCGAAACGTTATCGAATGTTGCATTATGATTACGCTTCTGTTGCTGTAATGCTTTTACTTGTAATCTAGTTTTATCTCGTTGGTAATAAACTCCGGCGAATATAAGGACATTTAAGATTAATAAGGAACATCCTATTGCAATCGTGACACTTAAAGCTGTCGAGTACGCCGTATAACCGGCAACCTCTAAATTGGAAACGTCTTGAGGATGTGAATTGTTGGTCTGACTCTGAGTGACAAGTGAGTCGGGTCGAGGCGACATGACACTGATGCAAGTTGTGGCATACGTTTCCACAGTCGTCGATGGTATATCTAGACTAATATTGTATGGCCGTCGATAAAGCTCGAGCGTAGGATCGAAGTAGTTAGCCCGAGTGAGAGGATCGGGGCGGACTAGCCCGTCGTACAGTTCCGGATCATTGTGGTTGCGAAATAGGTTGTGTTTCGCGACAACGTCCTTCATCCCCGCCCGATGGATTTCCGGGATTAGCCGTAACCACACAGACAGCTGGTGGGCTCGGTAATGGTTTTTCATGCGCGGCTTCATTCCTGCAATACAGTTTTTCGTTAACAACGAAATTTAAACCTTAATAAAATTTATTGTTATTTTGTGAATTATTTTTATTTACTTGTAATATTATTTAAATTAACACTCCTATTTACGTTATGAGTAACATTAATAACTCAATAAATCCTATAAGCGGAGGTTGAAATGTCAATAAAATTAATTAATGTCGCCAATGTGTTTGAATATTACAATCAACGTTAAAATGCTCTGCCGTTATTTAGTAATTGCATTCGTCATCAATTTATTTTGTTTATTATTTATTTGTCCAAACCATCGTTAATCATGGTATCTGCAATGCTACAATTACTTTTGATTCAAAGTAAATAGTTTGGATTAATAGTGTCATACATTTATTAAAAACATACACTAACTATTTTGTATTATATAAAATTATTATTTTATTATATACTAGCGGCTCACCCTCGCTTCGCTCGGGTTCACCTCTAGAAAAGCACAAACAGATCTATCCCACGGGGACCATTCATTTTTCCGGGATGAAAAGTAACCTGTTGTTTGACCGGCAATATAAGGTATCAGCATGCCAAATTTTACTAAATTAGGTGAATAAGTTGTTGTGTACTAAGCTGTATAAGTTACTATAGTTTTTTAACTATCCCACGTTAATTTTTCGGGATGTAAAGTAGCTGATTTGTTTTTGTCATGTATGAGCTACATTATTGTAAAGTTTCATTAAAATCCAATCAGTAGTTTTTGTGTACTAAGCTGTATAAATTGTTATAGTTTTTTAACTATCCCACGGGAACTCTTTAATTTTCCGGGATGCAAAGTATCTAAGATGTTGCACGGGGATATAAGGTACCACCATGCAAAATTTCATTTAAATCGGTCCAATAGAATCGGAGATTAGCCCGTACAAACAGAAAAACAGACAAACAGCTCGCTCGGGTTCGTCCATACCTACGAATATGTTGTATTATCTCTTTAACCATTTGTCCAAATTATATGCAGTAAAAGGGAAAAGTCTTTAGTTTTAAATATTTTAGACGATAAATTTACTTATTTTGATAAGAATTCATAATTGTTGATAATATGACCAATAAACATGACCTACCGATTTAATTTATTTTTGTAATATAAAAAACTACTCTTTGTGACTTAAATATAAAAGTTAGACATATGCTGTCGCGGACTTTTTTGTAGGCATTATTAAGCTCTACAACTTTTCTCTAGAACATAATCATATATCTCTCATCGTTAAGGCAGCGTTCGTAAGAAACGTTTTCGTTCGACCGTTTTTTCTCCGACTTACTTTGTAAATCAGACTACCACGAAAAAGCCTTTTCATTTTTCGGGTTAATATATAGCCTATGACACTCAGAAAGAACGTGGATTTCTATTGGTAAAAGAATTTTGTAAATCGGTTCAGTAGATCTAGAGATTACCCCCTACAACGTCACAAACTCACAAACTCACAAACTCACAAACCCACAAACTCACAAACTCACAAGATCACAAACTTTACCTCTTTATAATATTAGTATAGATTATTTTGTATTATATATTTTACTGAAATAAAAGTAGCCCAAGTTACTACTTATTACATCAACTACCTGCCAGTAAAAGCCCCGTCAAAATTGACCCAGCTGTTTCGGAGATGAGCCGGAATAAACAGACAAACAGTTGAAAAATTTAAAAATTGTGCTTTTCTTATAATTCTATACGCATTTAGTAAAAAGCTGTTATTTTGACATTACAAACAGACACTTCAATTTTATTTATCTGTATAGATAAAACTTGCGCTCACGCTTGCTTATCATATCAATTTTGCTTAGACACTACCCATTTTATAGTATTAGCCAAACGTTTTATTAATAATAAATTGGATTGTTTATAGATTCCCCTGATCATGACGATTACAACAGTTTATTTTTAAATATATCCAAAACTTACCAATTTCCAAATATTTCTGATGTAGAGTATCGTATTCGTCCCAGAATATTGTCTTGAACTTGTTTCTCTCTCTAGATATTGGCAACACGGCCTCTTGTCGCTGAGCTTCATTTGGATTTCTAAACAAATAATACACATAATTTTAAATAAAAATGTATTGTCCAGATTTTTCGCAGATTTATATATTTATTGCAAATATTCGCATAAACCTAAAAAAGTATTAAATATACATCATTCTTTTTACAGTTATTATGCATTATAATGTTAAAATGTCGATAAAATCTGTTAATTCTTTAACATGTGATATGCAGAAAAAAGTTCGCTTTCCTTCATTTGGCCAGAGTGTTGGCTTCATCCCCGCCAGGGCTCGGAATCGGTTTAAAAAACAACGGTTATTTCGGTAATGTAATGGCTCATTCTTCACTTGTTCTTTTACCAGTTAATGAAAACGAACGGTTTAGTAAACCGAAAGAATAATGGTTACTTTTAGAGAAAGGTTTGATTTCAGTTTTGATACCGAAATAAACCGGTTAATTGATCCATAAGTAAGAAACGTTTATATATCCTTTTACTAAGCAATTCATCATTAGTAAAGATTCGCCAAATGTAAACGCACAAAAACTCATTTTATCCTTAATAAATTTTAACAGTTAATTTTGATCATGGAATTTAAATTCATCAAAAACCGTTTTTCTGGATTTAACCAGTTAAAAAACATAACTGAAACCGTAAACCGAAAAGCCTTTCAGTTTGGGGTCAATGACAAAAACCGGTTTAAAAATTAAACGGGTTTCCGAGCCCTGATCCCAGCATTCAGTGAAAGCCTAGTGAGATATTTCGTGAGAGAGTGAGAAGGCCATTTAGTTTTTCAAAGGGGCTATTATTATATATTAATACTTACAACTGTTCCGAAAAGTCCGGAAATATTTTATAGTATAACATTTATCTACATATATAATAAAAAAATTTTAACAAAAAAATAAAAACCGACTTCAAACAAAGGCAATAAAAAGTAAAAAATAACTGATTGGTAGTTTTCATTTACTATACATACCTAATCAAACATTTTCGAAGTCGGTGTGCTTTGCTTTGTATGGGCTGGCACCGATTTCGAAAATATTTGATTAGGTATGTATTTAATAGGTAGGCTTTAACTTTTACTTAGCCAAAGCACACCGACTTCGAAAATATTTGATTAGGTATGTATAGTAAATGAAAACTACCAATCAGTTATTTTTTACTTTTTAGTGCTTTTGTTTGAAGTCGGTTTTTATTTTTTTGTTAAAAAATTTTTATTTTTCCCTTTTTAGTGTAGAAAGTAGTAGCAAAGTAAGGATTCTAACGTATTAAGCTTGTCAAATCAAACAAAATAAGCCCAAACTCAAAGTATCTACTATTAGCCGTTGAAGAGTTCCACCTATCCACCTTCTGGCCTTACTATCAGATCAGGTCAACAACACCGAACCACTGTACTATCAACAGAAATAGAAATACTTGCAAAGTTTCAAGTCAATATGACAATTAGAAGTAGGTTAAATTCATCATTAGTTGTTTTTCCACCCTTAGGGGTGGCATTTTTTTTTTGAAATTTAAATGGGACCAATCTGGAAGTATACCCTTTCAAACAAAACAAAAATTGTCCAAATCGGTTCATAAATGACGGAGTTCTGAGGTAACAAACATAAAAAAAAAAAACATACAGTCGAATTGAGAACCTCCTCCTTTTTGAAGTCGGTTGAAAAATAAGAAAAGACAAAACAATTCATTTATTTTTTTTCTCTGTTTCTAAATCAATTTTTTTTGTAGTTTTAGTATTAATTATCAATATAAATAAGATTATGGTTAAATTTCAACCACTTGTCTTTATCAATGTGTCTCTATCTAATTAATTTGGTTAAAATTGGAAGCTTAACCCAAATCTAAGACAATTCAAATTGAAATTGATCGAAGAGTAGGTATAAAGTCCAATATTTCTTCATCAAAATTCAAAATCGTGCACCAGTTGTGTATAAGCACTGAGCGGTCAACGATATAAATTATATAATATTAGAGGCGAGAATGCGGTAGACCCCTACATCGAGGCTGTGGCATTCCTACCAATTAGGATTACGACGTTTATTTTTGCTAAAAAGAGTCGGACAAGCGATTTTGCGAGAAATTCTTCATGAATGTTGGGAAAATGCCTCGCAGGGTTTCTTTGTGGTTACCTAGTAACATTTAATTAGCGATGTAACGATCAGCCACGTCTGTCTTTAGAGTAGGTTCTTTTTCAAATCAAAATATATTATATTTATAATTTATAATGTTGGGACATTAACACACAGCGCCATCTATTTCCATGGTAAGCAACGAGGCTTGTGTTATGGATACCAGATAGTTGATACACTACACATATAAATTTTTTTAAATACATACATATTATAAATATAAACACCCATGACTGGAGAACAAACATTCCCGCTCACCACACAAATGAATGCCCCCAGCGGGACTCGAACCTGCGACCGCTGGCACAGAAAGTAGTGTCACTACCAACTGAGCCAAACGTGTCGTCAAAGTATATTATATGTAACGTAAAAAGCTTTTAATTTTTAAATTTAAACTTAATTAATTCTTAATCACTATCGTTTAAATGTTAAGTAATTTAAACCTTAAAGTCATTTTAATAAAAATATTTTATTTACATTAGAGGTGAGCATGAGGTGAACCGAGTTAAGGCTACACAGTATAACACCTACTATTTTATTTATACACTAGCGACTCACCCTCGCTTCGCTCGGGTTCGTCTCTGGTTAACTTATGTTTTCAAGTTTAGTATAGATTTCTCAGAGATGAGATATTTTCCCGCAGTAAAAAGTAACCTATATGTTGACCCGGATAACAAACTATCATCATACCAAATTTTATCCAAATCTGTTCAGTGATTTTCTGGTGATGCGTTATCAGAAAGACAGACAGAGAGATAGACAAAAATTCTAAAAGCTATAGATCCGGCCTCTGTATCGATAATAATGACTATTTCCATAAAATTTTCCAAAAAATATTTATTATTAAATATTTATTATATACATGTATGAACTAGCAACTCATACAACCTTTGCCTTAAAAATATTGTAGGTGGCAGGTTATTATTATATTAATATTCTACATGTGTCTGTCCTAAAATATTCTTATTTATATAACAGTTTCAAGAAGATTCTCTAAATGAAACATAGGGTATTGTAAGCGTACAACATTTTACAACAAAGTTCCACCTCTAAGGGCGGTATAATAACTTTTTAGTGAATATCCAATATGATTACCAGTTGTCTTACGGTGAAGAATAACATCGTGAGGAAACCTGCATATCTGAGAGAACTATACAAGTTTTCGATATGTAAAATCCGTTAACCCACACTTGGCCAGCGTGGTGGACTAAAACCTGATGCCCTCCATATTGAAGGAAGGCCCGTGCACAGCAGTGAGACGTTAAAAAGGGCTGAATACACACAAGTGGTTTTGGATTCGGTGTACCATTTTTGTTAAGAAGTAATTATATTTTATTTTTATTTTATTTTATTTATTAGAAACCCTACGTTATATACTAAGAATACATTTCTTGACTTAATATAGTTATACATAAGAAAGTGTTACAAAGTATATCACAATTACAGGGTAACTTAACATGTAAATAATAATTGTTGAACTAAAAAAAAGGTTGTTGCTCACTTATGTTCAAAAAAAAAGAAATGAAATAACTCTCTAACATTTAAATAACAAAATATCTGTGTAAAAAAAAAGTTTAAACAAAAAAATATAAATAAATTTTGACATTACATAAATCGTAAATATATTGTATAGGGAAGTGCGAATTGTGTTTTAAATTATTTTAAAATAGTGTTTTAAAGATATCCTTAAGGTAATTTTCAACAAAAGGCTGGGTACTGAAGCGCACTAACAAACTCCGTTCTCAGCTATAATTTTCCATTTTGTTTAGTTACTAAACGAATCGAAACGAGAACTTCTGATAGTTTTTTACTTCTTTATTAACCGATTTCAAATAGAAATAATGTTTTGATTGTGAATTTAAAACTATTTATCGAGTGATTTCTTGAAACAAAGACGACTCTACTTGTTTGTGTTACATATTTATTTGTAATATAATTTATTTATTTAAGACATGGTGATAGATATGATATTTAAGAATGGTTGAAAAAAGGGCGAGTCCGACGACAGTAGCTCGGTTTTTATTATATTATGTTGTTTTATTTTAGAGTATGTGCTATAATTGCATCAAGTTTGAAGTTGCTATTCTAAGTAAGTAATATAAAACATAACAATAAAGCAAAGAAAATATTTTTTTAAAAGAAGTTTCTTGTACATTTGGATCTTTTTTAATTATTAAAATTTCGTAGCGAAATGGTAAAAGCTCTTATAAGTCGTCGTGTCTATCTGTCCATCCACACGTTCGATTTACTCGCAGGCTATTGAAGCCTGAAATTTTACTGAATTTTGGTGGCTTCTCATCTCTCACTAGGCAAGTTTGCAGTCAAATTATGAAAAATCAAAAGCAGGAATAGATTAGATAGATCAAACATGTAACTGAGGAATAAAAAAAATATTCTGAAAGATTAATGTTGAGGTAGATTTTTTAAGGTATTTCTTTGTAAAAGCTAATGATTGCGTATTAATGATTATACCTATGCTTCTAAACTCGCATTGATTGAGGCTTCATTCCAATTATACAAAATCTTAAAAAATATGTTTAATATTTTACGTATATTATTTTTTTCTATATTAATATCTCATAAATCACGTTATAATACTACTAACAACATCTCATCATACCCACATATGTGTCAATCTATTCCATGCTCAGTACTAACTGTTAAAACGTACCTAGAGACAAACCTGAGCGAAGCGAGGGAGAACCACTAGTATGAAATAATTATAAATTAAAGTTGCATTATAAATAATTACGAATATCTTAAATATAATCTATGTAAGAAGTACCTGTTAAAAGTTTTTAGACATCAGTTAGATAAGGGTTGTAGAATTTCAAACCTTTTAAGAACTACTCAATGATATTTAATACTTTATAAGACTGACTAGGATTTCTGTTTAAAACTTTGTTGTTTTATCTAAGTTAAAGTTTTATAAGTGAGCCGACATCCACCTTCTGTGTTTCCTACTCTTCGATCAACAATACTACTAAATATCGGGTCGGTACACATACGGCAAAATGAGTGCTTTAGGGGCTCAAAAATCAAAGATTTAAAATAATATGTACATTTATGCTTAAAAATATTTCAGACCTATAAAGGTTACTTTGTGTTGAGGCTTGAGAAAATTTCTAAGTACCTACCTACCTAAAAGGTATTTATAGCTAGAAATAAAATAGTATTGAAAATAAAGTTTCGTATATTTTACTTAAAGTACACATAAGTATCAATCATACATTAAACTATTATGTTGTCATATTTATCAGCTATCCTTTTTCCTCTCTTGGTAAGGCTGGCTTGAGCAGCAGAATAGTTCTAGGCATGACTCAGAAACTAATGGTTTTATCACTTTTTGTTTTGTTCTTACAGAGCTCTTTTCAAAAGATTTTGATTACCATTGAAAAAATTTTATACAAATTGATTCACAGCTGAGGAAAATTTTATGTACATTATTTTGTATGTATGACTCAGTATGACACGTATATATATATATATATATATATATATATATATATATATACACACAAATATTCCTACGCTTGAATATGTAAACTATGTATGTTGAATTGTTAGAGACAGACAGACAGACATTCTTACAAATTATTAAAGCACAATATAACTATAAAATAATGTTGGTAGACGAAAATTTATGAATTTCAAAACTGTGAATTGTCCTTGTAATAAAAGCTAACATTATAAATATAAAATTCATCTCATACCCGAAGTTTACATATTACAAACATTTAGCCTTATCTTGGAAATTCTACAAAGAGGTTCTCAAAAGAAATAACAAGTACACATGACTTACGTATAATAAAATTCTAGGGATGTCTACGTCTTATACTGAAAAGCAGAATCAATATATTTTATAAGATATTTATATTTGACAGTAAGAAAATACAGATGTTTGTTTTTAGTGTATCTATCACTGCTATTTATATGATAGGCACTAAAATATAATAAATAACTAAACGGGGGTTTTCATTTAGAATATATACCTAATCAGATATTTTCGAAGTCGGTGCCAGCCGATGCAAAGCAAATCTAATATATTTCGATACGTAAAATACACCACAAATTGATTCATAATATTTTAACTATAATTAGAGTTCATACCTAATCATATTTACCTATTAGATATTCAAATCTCAAAACATTGTGGGCAGGCACCGACTTGCTAGAGTTAAGGCGCAGAACCGCCGACTTTACGTGCTCTCCGAGGCACACCACTAACTCCGGGTTGTTACAAAGGCTTACTAAACAGTAAGACTCAATAACTAACCCTAGCCCAACCCGGGACTCGGACCCAGTACCTATGGAAGTGCAGCCGTACAAGCTAGCCTATACACCACCGACATATCTCACAATAGACGTAAGACAAAAGCTTAGCTTAGAACGCGACAAAGCAAATTCCATTCGAAGTAGATTAAAAGAAAAAAAATCACTCGCGGGTTATTGAAAAGTAATTTTATTTTCATACATTCTTTTGAAAGCTTCACACTCGCTTATTTGTTTTCACTTTGCATAGGAAACCTATTGTTCTTTGGCTTTTATATAAATGAATAAGTGTTCGGTGTCACATTTTCTTTATAAGGCCAATCTCTATTGTTAAGAAAATTTTACATCGCATGTGACATACATTACACATTATTTATTATTACATACATAACGGTAAGGTGAATTTTTTTTTTACTTGGCCATCAGTTGGCCAGAGTGATGAATATGACTTGATCAATCAATCATATTAATGGGAGGCCAGTGCCAAGCTGTGGGATGTTAAAAAGGGCTAAATACAATACATACTTATATCTCAAGAATTCAATCTTACTATCATTGAAAATATTGCAGTACTAATAAATAAATCACCTCCAGGTAAATTTCTAAGAAATTAATTAAACTAAGAAATCTATTGATAACTGTAACGCTGACGCGTCCGCGGTCGTGGAGAGATTAATGAATGTGAAAGTTTTTATATGTATGTATGTTTGTTCGTCCTTTGCGCTGAAACGTCTGAACGGGTTTAGATGAAACTAATACACAGATAGACTGGAACTTAGAGTGTGTTATTGTTAGTAACATAAATTTCTAAACGGTGGTGTTGCCTGTGTACAATATTATAAATACAAAACCACCAGGCACCTAAGGATGCACCCGAGCAATGCGAGGGCAAGTCGCTAGTTTTATTTAATAACAGGGGCTTAAGCTGTACGTTATCTCTTAGTCAGTGTAAGTTTTACTAAGTAGATAAGAAAAAAAATATTTTTTTTTGTTTTTAGTTAATATTCACCATATTAAAAATTATAATCCATACTAATAATATAAATGTGAAAGTGTGTTTGTTTGTTTGATTGTCTTTTTTTCACGTCAATACGTTATAATACAACTTAAAAAATATTTATGATCAGAATTATTTGAAACTTAGTATTAATGCTCTTCAATACAATTAAATATATGCGCGTTTTGAGCAGTTTTAGAAAATCATAAAGGGGTAAAATAGTGGATGAAAGTTTGTATGAAACCTACCATTTTAGCGTTTTTTAATAGTTTTAACGCGAGCGAAGCCGCGGGTTCTGCTAGTTCTTTATATTTCTTCTTTATCGATTTCAAAACATTCTGTATACTACTTCACATTACTTAGTGCAGGTTAGCAGTAACCCGCACCAAATTTCTTAATGTTATCCATACAAATTAAATACGTAGATAAAATCGAACAAAACAGTAATAAATAATAATCAACTACACTTACCCAGTTCTCACGAAGTTCGCTAGATACAATATAAATGCTTCAGATAATGCGACTTCAGATTTCGTATAATTTTTGGGGAAATGTCCGAGACCCTCTACAAGTGGTGCTCCAAATAAGTACGGCAATTCTTCTCCATGTACAGAACCCATGCGCTAAAAACAAACTTATAATTAAATACCGCAATAAAAATATTATATGAATATACTTATGTTTTTTTAATAAATATATCTTGGGACATTAACACACAGCACCATCTAGTTCCATAGTAAGCTACGAGGCTTGTGTTATGGATACCAGATAATTTACATACTATAAATATAAACACCCATGACTGGAGTACAAAAATTCGTGCTCATAACACAAGTGAATGACCCCAGCGGGACTCAAACCCGCGACCGCTGTCACAGCAAGTACTACAAATTGAGCGAAACGTGTCGTCATGTTATGTTTTACGTTTATCTAATCTTCACGCTTTATCGGCTTAACAAGTTAACGTGGAATTTCGAGTAAAGATAGTTTATATGTTGAATTAGCATATGGGCTTATTAAATTTTAATTTTTAATTAATTAATATTAAATTTTAATTTTAATTTTTAATTTATTTTCCACGCAAGCGCATTCGGAAACCAATAGTACCTACTATTTATATAGGTATATACAATTATTTTGTTGAATCAGGCTTTAGTTTTATATTTTTTAAACAAATTTATCACATAAGGTATTTTTTTCTATTTATATCCAATAGGAAGGGAAGTCTACATATCAAGTAATTACTACCAACTTTCCAATACCAATGAAATCTTAAAACTCTTTTGGCACCCCAAGATCTAGAACTTGAAGCCAAAACATTCTGATGTATAGTCAGTCATATAAAAAGCTACAAACAAAATGGAAAAATAATTAAACATCCATAAATGCCAAATAAAATTATTTATTTGACTAGAATAAATTTAATTATTTCTCAAAAATAGTGATGTTCTGAAAATTCATTGAGCTATATTAAACTGAAATAGCTTCAATCATTTCTATTCACGGTCTATTGAACAATAAGTAAAGGCTTGTAGAGATATATACAAAAGGGGCTGTTTTTGTCGTAGGTACAAGCTTATCAATAAATCAATGAAATGTGAATAGTTTTTAACCGACGCAACTTAAAATATGAGGAGGTTGTCATTCGACTGTATGTTTTTTTTGTATGTTTGTTACGCGATTTTTCTGCTAATTATGACTTGATTTTAATGTTTTTTTTTTCGATAGGGCATACTTCAGAGGTGGTCCAATATACCTAAAAATCATAATTGATTCAGGGCTTTTTGAAAATATCAACAAAAACAAAAAGAATTATCCAATCAAACTTAAGCGAATATTTTATTGCATAAAATACTTTCTTCATACTTTGCTACTCTACTAGGTCTACACTAAAATTAAAAAATATTAACTTAAAAAAAAATCGACGTCAAGACACTAAACATTTCTAACGAAAACATCGGATTAGGTATCTTTAGTAAATGAAAACTGCCTTTCAATTATTTTTTACTTTTTAGTGTTTTGAAGACGGTTTTTTTTTATTTTTATATACCTAACTATTACCACAGATCATATAATACTATACTCTATTACTAACTTCAAAATTTACTACAGTCATTAACGTATAACCTTGAATGATAAATACCTTCACAACAATGTCAAATATCGAGGGTATAAACAAGTATGAGCCATATTCATTCATAGAAAATGGTTATAAACTTATTTTTCGATAGTGACTATCGAAAAAGAATATTGATAGTAGGTACTATAGAAAGCTAAACTTCGTCAATGTAAAAAATAAGAGAACAAAAACTTTTGATGAACGGCGTCTTGCTTGAGAGAATCGAACCAATAAAAGTGTAATAACGAAAATGTTTCACTAAATTGGAAACGTATTTTATTTTATACCAGTTTTAGTAAATAAGTAAAAGAATCTCTGTAATATAAATTAAGGGATACGTTAGTCTTCAGTCAATTTTTAGATATTTCAATAAAATCAAAGAATCTATACTAATATTATAAATGTGTAAGTTTGTGAGTATGTATGATGTTTGTCACTCTTTCACGCCGAAACGGCTGAACAGATCTAGATGAAGTTTGGCTCAGATATAGATTATAGTCTGGAACAACATATAGGCTACTTTTTATCCCGGAAAAATATACTGTTCCCAAGTTTGTTTTTGTTTTTCTAGAGGCGAACCCGAGAGAGTGAGGGTGAGCCGCTAGTATTCCATAATGTTTGATTACTATAGTGAGTGTATTTGGAAATATTTGTCAAACAGTATAACTTAATATAACTTTTTATGACATCACAGTTTTTTATTGTATTGCTTTCAACTTTCAACTTTTTATTCAGTTTCACCTGTGTGTTTCTTACTTGAGTGAGCTCGATATGTAATATGGGAGATAGTTTATATCTATTTTTGAAGGAAGCCGCGTGCGATACGTCTCAATGCTTATTTGTCCAAACAATCAATTTACCGAAAGAGATACAGAATTATTGACTTTTAAATTTCGATTTTATTGATATTAAATATATATTTTTTTTATTAAAGCCAAAAAATAAATTTTATCTATATAATATGTATATTGTATATAAATCTTAGAAAAACGTTTTTTTTAATATGTAGAGGAAAAATCTATCTAGTATAAAGTACACCAAGTGTTGGTCGTTTGAACAGGGCGTTTGAATAAGTACTAAAGCGAACAATAGTTATTAAAATAAACATTATATAGCAAAACTTAAAAAATATTTGATAAAAAGATAAATAAAATATGACAACGTACCTGTGGGTAGTCCCCATCTTTAGTTTGGTAATCAAATACATAGAAGAAAGTATTTGGTCCAGTTCCAATAGCGCTTTTGCTGACACTCAGGAAGTCACCAGTCTGCACCAATGGTGCGACGTACTGAGCATCTGATAAGGCTAGTACTGCAGCATCTCTTGTGTTGATTGGGTGCTTTAACATATTGTAATAAAATCTTGAAATATAATATAATCTCTATACATATAAAAATAGGCAAAGACAAAACAGTACAGTATCTTTTACTTTGTTTGACAACCGATTTTTTTTTGATAGTAATATTTTTTTTGTTTTAATAAAAATTGTTTCTTTTTTATATGGTTAATTAAATTCTATTCACATAAGATCTTCTCAAATTTTTCGGCATGAAACGACTGGGCGGATATTAGTGAGATTTAGTACACATAGATAAGACCTGGATAACATATAGGATAAGCAACCTAAAAGTTGTAGTGTTAGTAAAACTTGCCAAAAGATAGCGCTGACAGTATATAATGTTATAAATACAAAAGCATATGAGGGTACACCTGATTGATCATTATTGTGACGTTATTTTCAATCGAAACGGAAGTTTAAACATAAATTTCTTTATTCTTATCTTCAAACAATATGATGATCTTCCATACAGTATATTTATTTATTGGGGACCAACGTTCAACAATATTTTCTTAGTATTCGTTCTGTACATAAGGAATTCTAGAGCAAAGTTTCATTCTTCTAATGCCAGCGGTTTGAACAAAAAATTTTCAATATTTCTTAGAAAATTTTTGTTCATTTTTATATTTTTTTTCTTATACATTAGCTCTTGTAGATCATAGCGCATTCTAATATACGAATTTTGTAGTTTTGGTCAAGTTTGGTGGTAATAGTGGGCGTAGTCGCAGGCAGATGATATTATTTATTATATTAGGTCTAAGAGTATAGTCAAAACATGAAAAAACCTTTTAGTTTAATTTGGTGATCAAAAATAATATTTTCAAAATTCAAGGTTTGTCAATCCACGATAACTAAAAACTTTAAAGAAAAAATTATTGATATATGCAAATTGATTGTCGAAATTTTCAACAAATAAATAGTTTTTTTTAACAATTTCGATATCCGAATAATTTTATCAAAAAAAAGAGTTATGGAGCAGAGTTATCTACATAATTATCTACATATTAAATCAACTAAAAACCACAATATTTAACTACCAATTCCATCAAAATGACTCCTACCTCCTTTATCTTTCAAACCGACAACATCTCAAATAAATAGATTGTAATATAACACTAATTGTAATTCTAAACTCTCTAGACGTTAAGCTGAATCCCATTTTAATGGTAAACAATTCTAAATTCGACATACGATCACGGGCCTAAGCTCGACGTCAAGATTGGTGCCAAACGAGTTTTGTTTCAGTTCCTCGCTCCAATATAATCTAATATAAATGGAAATTCTATCTTATTAGGTACAGATTTTCGAATATCATTTGCATGTGTCTACAATTTTTGTATACAATTAATATCACTAGTGCATTTATGATTATCCAACTAATATTATAATATATATAATTTTGTGGGGATGTATGGATGTTTGTTACTCTTTCTAGCAAAAATTATTGAACAGATTTTGATGAAATTATACAGTAATATAGCTTACACATCAACGTAGTATATCTATACATATAATAAAATTGTAACTAAGTCGAATGTGTACATTAAATATTTTTTGTAAAATCTAATTGAAATAGATATTATTATCGATACAGAGTCGGAATCTATAGTTTTTAGAATTTTTGTCCGTCTGTCTGTCTGTCTGTTCACTGCATCACGAGAAAACCACTGGACAGATTTTGATGAAATTCGGTATGATGATAGCTGGTCAACATATAGGATACTTTTTACCGCGGGAAAATATCTGATTTCTGAGAAAAAAAAACAAAAACTGCAATGTAAGAGTATACTAATATGTAAAACCTAAGAATTTGGTTTTTGGTCATCAGAACGCGGGCGGAGCCGCGGGAAATGCTAGTTAGCTATAATTTCTAAGGAATAGTACATAATTAAACTACGTGCACGGAACTGCAGAAAATTTCATATGGTAAGCGGGTGGAGATATAAAGTACCTCATGTCCGATGTGAGTTGTCACAATGCAATCTATCCCTTTAATACTTTTTTTAGATTTATGCGAATATTTGACATTCTGCATAATCTATGATTTCGGAATATTTCGCGATTTCATTTTGATTTTTGTTTCGAGTGCTTTATAGATTACTGGAGGGTCTAAGGTTTAAGGTAAGAAATGAAAAATGGCATCGAAGTACCTTACAAAAAATATAAATAAAACGGCGAAAAATCCCTAAGTTATATTTAAAATCTTTGCAAAAGTTTGCCGAAATCTGATCAGTGATTGAAGCGTCTAAAGATAGCAAATCGTCTATTTGCGTTCTTTAGACGACGTTTAACAAACAGACAAATTTTTAAAGCTAAAATACAGCAATTCAAGATTAGATTAATTTATAATTTTGAACAAAATATTAATATTATAAAGAGGAAAAAATGTTTTTTGTTTGTTTGTTTGTATTGAATAGCCTCCGAAACTACTAAACCGATTTAGATGAAATGTTGTAAGAAGATAGTTTGAGATCCTGGGAAGGAAAAGTTATTAGGCCGGAAATCATGCCTTAAGGGGTGAAAATGGGGGTGAAAGCTTGTATGGGGAAGCAACGAACACGAGCGAAGCGAGAGTGAGTCTAGCAACTCAGTAGTAAATATAAATACATATTATATTAGTTTTACTCAAACACTTCTACCATATCTGAAGAAAGATCGTCGGATATAAAAAAATATATAGCCCTGGCTATATTTTATTAGGCTTTAAACAAGCCCTGTGATAATAATATGTTTGTTTATTGTAAAATATAAACAGCCTGTCGGAATTTTTCGTCAGAAATATAGTCATAGCATAACTGCTGAAAACATTAATTATCATATTACTCTTTTCAAAACTAATGAACTTCCACACAAAATTTTATTCTCTTTCAAACTCCTTTAGAGAATTTTTTTTAAAAATCCTCCTTAATGATCACCTTTTTTATAAAAGACACTATGAAATTTTTTGTACTTCTAGTCTGTCAGTCAATATTAGTAATATTAGAGATATATCCAATACAAGATTTGTTTATCTGGTAGGGTAGTATGACACGATATGTTAAAATACGTCTCTATTTCCTATTTTAGACTGTATCTCAAAATTCAAATTTAAAAATTTATAAAATGGAACTATCTTTAAGATGTATCTCTTTGGATTTTGTCGCGGTTTTATTTTAGATTTTGGTTCCTGACGTTTAGAATGCTTTACAGCAAACATGGTCACGGCAGAGAACTCTCAGAGACAAAATCCAAAAAGAAAATTTCATTTTAAAATATCAAATACTTGCGTGAATTTAAGAAAGTATTATGAAAAATTTATGATAAAATGTAAAAATATTATTATACATTATTATTCTAATATAAGCAAAAGATTTTAAACACAAAAATAATTTTTATTCCTAAAAGTATATTATCTTACTCAAAATTAAATTACTAAGACTGTATTTCTTGAAATTTACCCCAAAAACTATTACTTCAATTTAAAAGGCCTGATCTCGGTTTATTTTTCCAATCACGTATGTAAGTAATGTGAAGCCGATAGAATGAAAATAATACGACATGAAAGGGATTGGCAATCTTTGCTCGACAAGATATATTGTGATCTAATAAGAAAATATCTTACCTGTACTGTCCGCTCCCAGTCGGTGTATTCATTGACTATAGTAAAGAATATCTCACTCAAATGATATGTGTAGGCGTTTCTTACATACGTCCTGTAATGAAAAGGTTTCTATATATTTGCTAGCTTTGGGAAATAAATATGTACAGATTTCTATTACTGTACTATATAAAAGGCAGTGGAAGCCCAGCGGTAACGCTCTCGCTTGGAAAACTGAGTGAAGCGGGTTCCAATCTCGGGTGTCGCACCTATGATATTTTCATGTGCAAATCATTTCCAAAATCATTCCATTCCATTTCACGGTGAAGGAAAACATCGTAGAGAAACCTGCATGTTTGAAAGAACTTAGCAAGTTTTCTGAAACACATGTGAAGTCCAGCAACCCGCACTTGGCCAACGTGGTGGACTACGGCCTGATCCTCGTATTGAAGAAAGCCCCGCGCTCAGCAGTGGGACGTTAAAAAAGGCTGAATACAATACTACTAGTATAAATGCTGTACAAAATTTGGTTTACATAAGAGGTTAAAAATATATAAATATTTTAAGTTTAATTAATATCAACATTTTTGCCATCCAATCGCAAGGAAATAAATTATTGATAGCTATGCAATCCTTTAAATCGGGTAAATACCAATTTGCTGGATAAACACCCTTACCGTATTATTCGGTCTCGCCTCTCACCCTCGAAACCGTTTTGTATGTCTTGAGCCGAGAATTTCCACAGAGCCTCGCTCGTTACCACGCCGAATAGCAGATCATATTTATTCTGCCCGCCTCTTATCCCGAAAATCCTATCTCCGCTTCTTTTGTCCGCCTTGATATTGTTGACACCCGATACACTGGTAAAGCCTTGGAGATCGTTAGGTATGAAGAATGTTAGGAGTTCTTTCGCGTAGTCAGTTTTTACAACAACTCCGTCTACTGATGGACCAAAAGCTGTGAGATAGCTTGGTGTGCTAATTTCTGCTGACATTAATTCTAGAAGTGGTACCTCTCGAAGACAGTCAACGATTAGCTCGTGGTCTTTAACAATATCTTCGGGGAGTGTGCAATTTGATTGTTTTGCAAGTTGGACGGAATAGCTTACTGGATCCTCAACAAGTGCCCACGAACTTAACGCTGATCCGGATAGGAGGATGGCTCGATGAAATAGACCTAAAATTAATTTTGCAAATAAATACATTGCTTAATATCTTTTCTTATTACTTTATTTACTTTTTAGTTAATTGTTTAGTTCTAAGTATACTTACCAGTTACGACGGTAGGTGAAATCATCAAAAAATTTATACAGGCGGCACCTGACCCGTGTCCCAACATTGTAACATTTCCGGGATCACCCCCAAATAGCGCTATATTCTGTTGAACCCAATGTAATGCGGCAATTTGGTCCATCAACCCGTAGTTCGCCACTCTTGCTTTCAAATGAGGTATGGGATTTGCGTTTAGGAATCCTATGGAGGTCAAATTTAAATTTATATATATATTTCATTTTAAATAATGGAAATATTAAAAAAAAGGCTTGTTAGCGTCTTTTGACTAACAATCTTTAATAACGGGAAGGTTATATTAATAAGTTGTTTTTTACAGGTTTAAATTATTCAAGGTTTAGCTTAATGTAAAATACTTAAATTGGTACAGGATTTCTGACCAAAATTTTAAAAATAAAAATGTTTTTTCAACCAAAGATACATATTCAACTTAGGCCAAAGTTATCTCCTATTTTTTTCTGTGACTTTTATATCTTTTGTTGGTCATTCAATTGGGAACGTTATTATTAATTTTAGTAAAAAGCTTATCAAATTACCTAATTATAAAAGTTTATTTTAAGCTTAAACAATGTTAAAAGTTTATAATAATATTATTATAAATAAATATGTTGGGACATAATACACAGAACAATCTAGTTCCATGTTAAGCTACGAGGCTTGTGTTAGGGATACCAGATAGTTGATAGACTACACATATTATATAACCTTAAATACATACATATTATAAATATAAATACCCATGACTGGAGAGTACAAACACCAGCCCTACTTGTCACACAAATGTATGCACCCAGCGGGACTCAAACCCGCGACTGCTGGCACAGCAAGTACGGTCACTAAAAACTGAGCCAAACGTGTCGTCAAAAAAACAGACGTATTTTCAATTACATTGACACTCACATCTTTATCGTTGAGCTGATTACATTCGATTGAAAGGATATGTAAGATATTTTATCAGATAAACAGTCTTGAATTTAAATTATCTCTTAAAAATAATTTATACTAACTTTCCCTTGATGATAAATTAAGAATGAGTTGCTACTACAGTTTTATTTTTCTTGGTCTCCAATGAATTTATGCACAGCTCTTATGCGATAGCTTCGTCACGTTTCACTTTGCTTAATTAAACATTCTTGTAGCGATATTCTATGGCTTTACGAAGTTTTTTATGTACATACGATATTATAAAACATAGTACTTACTTTTTTAAATAACACTATCTTTTTGGATTTTTTCTCGGATTTATTTTGATATTTGGTTCCTTCAAATAAATTCGCAAAAAACGCTAAAAATCCCGAAAACATAGTTTTATTTAAAATGTCAAATATTCGCGTACGTAAGTGTTAAGATTTACTTGAATTTAATTCTCACTGCAATTTAAAGTTAGCGTGCATTCAAAGTATTATATCCTTTAGGTGTCAAATGACCTGATTACTAAAATAATGAATGCTCACGGTCATGAGTTAAATAATGTAATATATAAATTAAAAGTTAGCATTAAGCTTATACTAATATTTTTGTTGGAAATTTTTAACTTGTTGTTTTGAATTTTCAAATTGCAGGTTTTTTGCATGTTTTAAACAGGATTATTTATAAAAATTATATTTAGTTCCTTTTCAATTTATATTTTGAACTAATATTGAACTAGTCATTGACATTGAAAAATGAAATTATAATATTTTAGCGTATTTTTAAGTTCGTATGTATATTTACATATTGTGTATGTATGTGTACGTTTGGCTTAGTTTGTAGTTACCTTACTTGCAGTTCTAGCAGTCGTGGGTTCGAGTACTGCTGGGAGCATTCATTTGTGCGATGAGCACGAATGCTTGTACTCCAGTCATAGGTGTTATATTTATAATATAACATTTATAATATAACACATAGGTGTTTTATTTACTGCCTCGGTGGTGTAGTGGCTAGCATGTACGGCTGCACACCCGGAGGTCCTGGGTTCGAGTCCCGGGTCGGGGCAAGTTTAGTTATTGAGTCTTCCTGTATAGTAAGTCTCAGTAACAGCCCGGAGTTGGGAAGTTGGCGGTGTTTCACCCCCGTGCCTCGGAGAGCACGTAAAGCCGTCGGTCCTGCGCCTTAACTCTCACCGGTCGTGTCGAGTGGTCGTCCCACCGGAGTATGAGAGTGATAGGAATAGAGAGTGCACTTGTGTCTGCGCGTGCACTTGAGCACTATAATATCTCCTGCGCAGTTGGCTAATCTCATTGAGATTGGCCGCCGTGGCCGGAATCGGCTAGGAGAACATCATCATCATCATTTATAATATGAACGTATTTAAAGTTATATAATATGTGTAGTGTATCAACTATCTGGTATTCATAACACAAACCTCGTAGCTTACATTGGGGCTAGATGGTGCTGTGTGTTAATGTCCCAACATACCTATATACTTATTATGTATTATATTTATATCACCTTTTTTTTACCACATTTAACTTGTAAAAGCAAATTTTATATGAAAAACTAAAAATCTTTTATTTTCTCTGTTAAGTGATAATATATGGTACATTACCTAATATGCCGAGACGATAGTTGATTGTTATAACAACTAAACCCGCATAGCTCGACAGTACGGCGCCATCGTAGACATTACCAGAATTCCATTCAAACGATTCGCCGTGAATGAAAATAACCACTGGATACTTCGCCTGAAGTGTCGGTCCAACTGTAAAGGAAGATTGCTTTTTACTTATCACAATATAATGAAGCTTTAACTAAGAACATTTCTAGTTATTCCGCTATTTCGTATAGAACTTTCTTAAAACTTATATAAATTCACCAAAAGAATTATTGCAATCGGTTCAAAATCATAGATGAAGATATTGCGTATATAATAATAAATATACCCAAAGTAAGCACTCTTTCGTTGTTTTGAAAGTCTGTTATGAAAACTGATGAAAGAAGATAACACGCAGCAGAGATGAGAATGATGAGACAAATGTATAGAGAATGAATAAAATAAGGAATAAGTACTTAAGAAGAAGCTTTGAAGTGACAGAAAAAATGTAAGAAAGTTGTCCGAGTTGGTATGGAGATGTGATGAGGGATAAAACGCATGTAACGAGAAGAGTGAGAGAGGAGAGGAAAGAAGGGAGAGGAAACCTGTATGTCTGGGGAAAACCTAGCAAGATTGCAAAAGACATGTAAAGTCCGTCAACCGGCATTTGGGTCAGCGTGGTGGGCTATGACCTGATCCTCCTTGTATTGAAGGAAGGCCCGTGCCCAGCAGTGGACCGTTAAAATAGCTGAATAGAAACTAATCTTTATGATATAACTTCTTAGTGAAATACAACACTATCACAATAATCTAAATCAAATAAAATGTATGGAAACCGTACATGCGAAGCTCGACATGTAACAACTAGTATAAAAATTGAAGCACCATTTAAATTGCATTCAATAAGTCACCTGAACTCAATTGTAAACTGTCGTTATATAAAAGAGGTGCATCTGTATTTCATATATTATAAACGTAAATAATAATAAATTACATCTTTTTTAATCCTTTTTGTTACTATTTGTATTGAACAATCAATATTGATAATGGATATGCCGATTTTGATGGGGTCTTATCATTTTAAAAGAGAGTGTGATGATGTGTGTGATTTTTTACACATCATTGCTATAAAATCTAGGGGGTTTATAGTATTTTACGGAACAGCCTGTGATTAGATAAATAGCTATCTATATAATATAACATCTATATATTATCTATATATTCTTTATTGCACACCTTATAAAACAAACAAACTTAGATTCACAATTTGAATAATAATTTTTCATCAAAATGGTCCAGAATGTTTTAGGTTATTAAAAAAAGTTTGAAATTTTGAAATAAATGTAAACAAGCGGCCTTATCGCTAAAATCGACCTCTTCCATGCAACTTTGAGGTGGAAAAGAAGTGAGTGGCACAAGATTTAGTTAATATGCAAAGATAAAAATACAATAAGAATCTTGAAAGAATCGAGCTGATTTAATAAAACAGCTTTAAGAATGAAACTTTAAAATGAAATAATTTCTTCTTACCATTCAATTTAAAACCTATAAATAGTAAATACTACTATAGTTTTTATTATAGTTAAACAGCTTTCATTTGATCACCTTCTGGATCTTTCGGATTTCGAATAAAACCATTTTTCTATCTTTATATTTTTACTATAATTTTGTCACTAAAGTTACATAGAAATGCCAGTGTTTGGAAAATGATTTAAACATTTTGAACCTCAAAAAACATACGTAAGAGAAAGATACATACAAACACTGAGAAAACAAGTGAAATAAAAAGCTCGTTAAAAGGCTAATACTAAAGAAAAGAGGAAGTAAAAGCTTATCTATACATAAAATAAAATTCTAACCAAGTCGAATCTCTACATTAAATATTTTTTTGAAAATCTTATTAAAATAGACATTATTATCGATACCGATGCCGAATCTATAGTTTTTAGATTTTTTGTCTGTCTGTCTGTTACCGCATCACAGAAAAACCACTGAAACGATTTTGATGAAATTTAGTATGGTGATAGCTGGTTATCCGGGTCAACATATAGGATACTTTTTACTGCGGTAAAATATCTCATTTTTCAGAAGATATACAAAAACTGCATTGTAAGAGTATACTAATATGTAAAACCTAAAAATTTGGTTTTGGTAAACTGAACGCGGGCGGAGCCGCGGGCAGTGCTAGTATAAAGTATATACTCGTAACTATTCTAAGCAAAACGCGACCCAGAGCTAATGCAGTGTCTTAAGCTTTCTCTACCTTTGTTTATGATATCAGTGTTTCGCATGACAGATTCGAAGCGTTCTATATAAATTCTTTCTTTGGACTCAATCCAAGTGAATGAAATATGTTTTTCTCATTGAATACGAATGAAAATACTCATATTGTTTCAGTAGCTGGAATAATGTGAGAATTGTTGTTTTTTGCTAAGCGAAAGCTTGTAGCTTATTTTTTACGAGCTTTTATTTCACTTGCAATGTATGTTAGTTGGTATATTTGTATGGATCAAATCTTGCAAGCTAAATTAAAACCACTTCCTCTTACCCTACAGAGTTGATGTTGGTTCAGTTTTGATGATAATGATTTTTTTTTAGAAAATTAAAAAGCAAACAGTTAAACACGAAATTTTATAAACACATTCAATTGTTACTTGTAATACTTTTCTAGGTTTATTTTGTACTGTCATTACAAATCTAGTGCCATTTTTCTTCTAGTATTTTTCAATAACAACTTTAAATCAGTTACTAATTTTTCACTAAAAATCCAGGCCTAACGCGATTTTTTCCCTAAAAGTATAAAGCACTTGTAGAGTAAAACCTACATTTATGTATACGGTCGACTCATGTCTTGTTATATGTTAAAATGTTTATAGGATAAATATTTTCATAAAAATATACAAAAACAGTATAAAAAATACTGTAACACATTAAAATTTATTGAATTCAAATTTTAATTGTAATAGCTTAGTTTTTAAAAATCAATTTGCATATAAACCTATACATTAGTCAAATAAAATCTGTTTTAAAGGTAAAAGTAATATTTTTTGATAACTATTTCATTCTCCCATAAATCAAACTAACTACAGGACTTTAAATAATAAACAAAAAAAAAATTTCTGTGCACCATCTGATATGTATGTATAAGCTTTATGTAATAAAAGTTTATTATGAAACAGGTTTACTGAATATGAAACACCAATAAATTCAATATGGCCCAAAATAGGGACGTTAAAACTTTTTAAAAGCTACATTCTCATTTTTTGTCATAAAATACCTACTATAAGTTTTTATTTTGGTTTATCGTCACGCTATCTCGCTATATCACGGACTAAAGGCAATGGTAGCCCAGTGGTAACGCGCTCGCTTGAGAAACCGAGTGAAGCTGGTTCAAATCCCGGGTCTCGCACTTCTGATATTTTGACGTGCGAATCATTTCTAACATAATTACCACTTGTCTTGCGGTGAAAGAAAACATCATGAGGAAATCTATATGTCTGAGAGAACCTAGCAAGTTTTCGAAAGACATGTGTAGTTCATCAACCCGCACTTGACCAGCGTGGTGGACTATGGCCTGATTCACCTCGTATTGAAGACATCCGTGCCCAGAAGTGGGACGTTAAGAAGGACTGAATACAATATCTTCTTAAGTAAAAAGTTAATAGAGACATGTTCTACATTCAATATCAATTGCTTCACTTTTTATTGCTAATGCGTGGTGAGTAACTCCTTCTAAGGTATTTTGTGAGGTATTATGTAGTTTAAGGTTCATTTATTTCTCAAAAGAATAGAAGTCACTATTATTGAGAAACATTAATTTTTGACGACACGTTTGGTCCAGTTTGTAGTGACCCTACTTGCTGTGCCAGTGGCCGCGAGTTCGAGTCCCGCTAGGAGGATTCATTTGTGTGATGAGCACGAATGTTTGTGGTCCATACATGGATGTTTTTATTTATAATATGTATGTATTTTAAGTTATATATGTGTAGTGTATCAATTATCTGGTATCCATAACATAAGTCCCGGCATATTTTTTTATTAGTTTTACATAGGTAACATTATTAACAGGCAGATATAATTATAAAAAAATACTTTGCGAGTAGTACAAACTATTTTACCGATTAGAACTCGGAATAAGAATACTGGAAGTATTAATGAGAACTTATATGCGGTATAATATCTTAGTATACGTAAATGTATTTTATTGCAAAAATATTATCATTTTTTTCGAAGACGGTGATATTTTTTTAGTATTTACTTCCAGCTCTGTCACTCACTCACTCTTACTCAGATTTAGGCAACGCTTTATATGTTGGCTTATTTTGGTTGTTAGAGGTCATTTCACTTGTAGTTCTTGATTTTACGGTGATACCAGAAAAATTAATAAATAATAATAAAATAAATAAATATGTTGGGACATTAACACACAGCACCATCTAGTTTCATGGTAAGCTACGAGGCTTGTGTTATGGATAGCGGATAGTTGATACACTACACATAAATAATTTTAAATACAATTTTTTTGGTTGGTGTATTTTTAAAGGCACAGGCATTTTATGTATTAAGGGTGAATCAAAATGGCTTACCTATCTGTGGTTCTCCTTACTAAAGATAAATATTTTATAAATTTTGTATGAATCTTATGTCTAATATCTATCTTTTGTGAGGAAAACAACAGATGCATAGGTTATTGGGATACACCGATAGAGTCACAAAATATTTATATCGAGTACCATTACTGAAATAAACATATTTTTAATAGTATTATAATAATCTATAATAATATTATAAAGAGGCAGCGTTAGTTTGTTTGAACGCGCTAACCTTAGGAAGTACTAAATCCGATTTGAAGAATTATTTTTGCAATATATAGCCCGTTTATTGACGAAGGCTTATAGGTTATAATATATGATACGATAGGTATAAATTTAGTCTATCTATTCTATACTAACCGTCAAAACGCACCTAGGGACGAAACTGAGCGAAGCAAGAGTGAGTCGCTAGTAAGTATAATATAATATTGAAGTATACCAAATTATCTTTAAAATTCGCCTGTAATTTCGATGTAAGTTAATTTAAAACACTTTATAACAGTGACAAGTGATTCAAAGTTGAGTGTGACAGCGGAAATGTCGTAATTATGCAGTATTACATATACAAGTCATTAC